GGGTAAATACCTGGTCCTTGTCCGTTTTCTGATAAGGGAGTACCCTCTATGGTGGTTTGAGAACGGCATTCATTAGCCCAATGTCTCCCTCTACGGCATCGTGGGCAAATACCCGGTATTCTATTCCTTTGATACCTACTTTTGTTAAACCCTCCTCCTATGGGGCAACTCCTTTTAAAATGTCCTGTTTGTTCACAATTATAGCATGTTTTTGGCCTGGCATCTAAAGCCTGTTATACTGCAGCTGCCAAGACTTGCCCTTGTTCATTAATGTCTCTACATAATTTAATATATGTGTTTAAATCTTCATGTCTCCATGGTCTAATGACCTCTCTGCAGCAACGATTTGCTTGGTCATAAGCCAGTTGTTTTATTAATGGCATTGCCTGTTCTGTATCCCCAAAAATTCTGGAAGCTGTTTGAAGAAGCCTATCTACAAATTCAGCGTAAGGTTCATTAGTTCTCTGTATTACCTTAGATAGCTGACCTTGTAAATCTCCATGTCCTTGTAAAGTCTTCCATGCCCTAACTGTGTCTGCAGCAATTTGTGCATATATAGCAGGATCATATTCAATTTGTTGCCGTTGACCCTCATAAGGTCCTTTTCCTAACAACATATCTAGATTTCTTTGAGGGTAACCGGCTGCTGCATTTCGCCCAGCTGTCTCCGTGCAAAATTCCTCATTGGCAACCTTCCATAACAAATATTGTCCTCTATTTAGCACAGATTTACACATGCCAGCCCAATCTGCTGGCGTCATGTCCAAGTTAGTAATGGACTCGACCATGCTTACCGTGAAGGGTGCTTGGGGACCATAGGTTGTTACAGCCTCCTTTAACTGCTTCACTGTTTTAAAATCTAAAGCACGGTGAATTCGCTGCCCTCCTACCTGTTCAAGTACAGGGCATGCTAATTTTGAGGTCCTGTCTCAGGATCCCATCTATCAACTACGGGGTTTGAGGGCCACTCAGCTGTCTCCATAGGTGGGGCTATTGGTTGAATTATGCCCTCTGGTGATAAAACGGAGTTAGTAACAGCCTCCTGTTGTAGCCTTTTCCCTAATAACCCCTTTTCCTTTAAATTTTCTTCCTCTGTCTGACTAGCTCGAGAGACCTTCTCTTTTGCTTGATCTAAAATGTCTTTCTCCATGGTCTGAACCTCTAACAATTTACTTAACACCTTTTCGGTTTGTTTTTTACTAATTTCTAATCTACTATAAAGATAACGCAACCCAATAAGATAACACAAAACAAAACTGAAACTGAATGAAACAAAAACGGAATAAAAAATCGTTGTATCAATTTTCTCTTCCTCAGGGCTGACAAACTTCAAACCTTTAGCCAACCATTTTTCCCAGTTTGCCTGAGAAATTTCTAGGGATAGGCAGCTTGAAACAAAAACAAAATAAATCAAAACAAGAACACATTGTTTTTTGAAACGGTCACCCATTCTCTCGCCTTCCCTCAGGGACGAGCAATTTCACTTACCTCCAAGTTTTAGACGTTCTGCATACAGGCCACCAAATGCCTCAGTCTGGCTGGGCACAAAATCACGAGCCACCACACACCTTGTAGATTCAAACAGCAACTCTTTATTCTCGAACTGTCACCGGCACTTTACACACACGTTCTGGGGAAATCCACGTTCTGGGTCAAATCCCAAAAATCTCTGAATCCCGCGAGAACTCAACGGGAACTCAAGGAGCGGGCGTGCCTGAGGCAGCAGGATATGCCCTATTCCCAGCAGGGTACACCTTAAACCTGGATCCGCCCTGGTCCTTGAGCAAGGTCACCTTACATGCAATGTCACTGCAAATGACCTGGGTCCAATATGGAGAGTCCTTCCTCTAAGCAACATTGGGTAGGCTGACAAAGAAATTGCCATGGGTCATTCCTACTTGGCAATGGCTCTCAGCAGTTAGTATTGAGTTTACAAATCCAGACACTCAGAGAACTCTAAGTAGAATAACCTGAGGGACAGTCACACTCAGACACATCAAACCAAAAGGATGAGAGAGAGACTCTGGGCAAGCATCTGACCATGCCCCAAACCCTTCCCTAAGGCCATTATAGTAACCATCACGTATAATCCTATTGCTAAAGACTACTGTTATTTTTATAAGCTGATTTCTCTTCAAAAACCATGGAGGTGGGAAACATGGAGGTAAGATGACATATTCAAAATAGTAAAAAAAAAAAAAAAAAGAACATCAACCAAGAATCCTAAATCCAGCAAAGGTATTTTCAGAGAAGAATAAATTACTGATACACACCCCATGTGGATAAAGTGGAAAACTACTCTGTCAGTAAGAGCAAACAAAAGGTTGCTTACTGTGTGATCCACTGATAGGAAATCTCCAGAACAGGCAGACCCACAGACCCAGAGAGCAGTGCTCTGTGTTCTGAGGCCTGGGAGGAGGTCATATTCCTACTGGTGAGATGAGAATGACCTGAACTAGGTAGTGACAACATTTGCATAACTCGGTGAAGGTCCTGAGTGCCCTCAGTGGCCCACTTTTAATGGTTAATAGCGTAAATTTTATATGATGGGTTTTTTTTATGAGAATAAAAGAAATGATGGTTCTCCTTCAGGAGAAAGTGAAAGAACAGCAGAAGGTAACTCAAGTGGAGGAAAGAAAGCCCCTCCCACTGCTGCAACTCCTGTTCTGGCCCTGATGAGTGCCTTTCCCCCTCGCACCCGTGTTTCAGGGTCTGCTTAGTGGCATGGCTAAGCGTGAACTCAGGGGGACCCTGCCTGGGTTCAGTGCCAGCCTCCCACTGCAACTGTGTAACCACAGACAGTTATGACCCTCTGTGCCTCGGTTTCCTCATCTGCAAATCAGGGCAACATCTGCATCTGTCCCATAGGGTTATTGTAAAGAATGTTATTGTCCTGCCCCCACTGAAGACCACCAGGAGCATACCTGTGCCAAACAAATTCCAGGATGTCACTCGTCCCATGCAGCGAGGGAGTGCACACAACAGGTAACCAGAGGGCACTGAGGCAGAGGCAAGAAGAAGCACTGGGAGGACTAGCCTTTTATTTTTTTTTTTTAAGATTTTTTTTTAAGAGAGAGAGAGAATTTTTTAAATATTTATTTATTTATTTATTTTTTAGTTTTCGGCAGACACAACATCTTCGTTTGTGGTGCTGAAGATCGAACCCGGGCCGCACGCATGCCAGGCAAGCGTGCTACCGCTTGAGCCACATCCCCAGCCCAGGACTAGCCTTTTAAAGGTGCTTTGGGGAGGGCCCTGGGTTAGATGCCATCAGGAAGAGGATGACCCTTGCTCATCCTCTTTCGTAAAAGAAGTGGGACCAGACCAAGGCTAAAGCCATGGTTTGTGGAATGATTGTTCACCCTAAAATCCATTCATTGAAATCCTGGCCCTCAACCAAATTGATAGTATGAGGAGGTGGGGCCCTTTGATGGGAAATTGGGTCACAAGGACAGAGTCCTCATGGTGGAATTCTACCCTTACCAAAGTGACCCCAGGATTTCACCAAGATGGCGCCCAGGGCGATGAAGGAAACTCCTGCCCCTCCCCACACTGCAGCCAGTACAAAGGCTCTGCAGGCCCACGGCAGGGCTCAAAGGAGTCCACAGCCAGGAAAGGAAGAAGGAAAGAGGGGAAGGTCGCTCCACTTTGGGCAGCGCAAGACCCTATAGCTCCAGAGGCAGCCAAAATATCCTGGACAAGAGACTCCCAAGAGACACACTTGACTCCAAGCCATCACCCAGCTCACGAGGAAGCCGGACAGCAGCATGCTGGTGTCCACTGTGCCTATCAAGCATAGAGTACGAGGCTGGGACAGAGCTCTGGAACATGGACGTGGCCAAGGTCCCATGCCCTGCTCCAGCCTGATGGTCCCAGCCGCGCTCTCCTGGCTGATGCTCTGGGGCCTTGCGGCTGCCACAGGAGGACGTGGTCCAGCGGAGGGTAGGGCGCGCGCTGTGCTGGGCTCGCCCCGCCCTCCTTCCCTCGCGTGTGCAGGTCTGGATTTCAGTGCCAGGAACTGAGCGGAGGATCACGCGCACCCTAGACAGGAGCTCTCCCCTGAGCTACACCCCGGCCCTAAAAGACACTTCTCACCTCAAAGAAATACATTAATTATAACAAAGACGAGACCATGACCCACCCCGACACACCTAGACACAGTGACAAGATGCCATCTGCCAACCAGAGGACAGCCCGCCTCACACCTCGATCTTGGGCTTGCTCATAAGCCGGCCAGGCTGGGGTGCTCGGTCAGGGCAGCCCAACAGACCATCGGGGGCGGTTGCTGCTGTCGATCAGGGTGTGGGGGTCGGGTCGTGTGTGGCTGGACTGTGCCGGCTCTGCCTGTGCTCAGCCCGCTCCAAAGCGCTACCCAGCAGGCTCCATCACAGGTACCGGGATGAGTCTTCTGCGGTTTGTGGACATCCAGCCGACACAAGGCACAGCCCAGCAGGGAGCACCAGGGGAAGTGCCACAGTACCTTGTCATCTGGGAGGGCCAGACGAGCTTCCCAAGCACTCTGGCCCCTGGGAAGGCCCTCGCAGCACCCACAAAGCCAGATCCCACAGTGGCCCTGGACGTCAGGGCTCCCCTGCCCCAGCTGGAGCTGGCCACGTCCTGGGCCCCCTGAGAAGCAGTGTCTGTAGATCTTAAGGCCGGAGATGGCCAGGACCCTCCACTGGAGCAGGAGATTTCCACCCTCACCTGTGCCCAGGAAGAAGCACCCACCCAGGTCCCGGCCAGGAGACCCAGCTGCCCTGAGGTGAGGCCCAAGGTTCCAGTGCTGATGGGGGTTGAAACAGTGCCACTGGCAGCTCCTGTCCCCACCCAGAGCCCCCTCTCCTCGCTGTGTCAGGCGCTTCATCTCTCCCCACACTTTTCCGGGGTGAGGGTGCCTCCACCCTTTTCCTTTTTTCCTGAGTCAGGGAGGCTGGACCAGCTGGTGGTGGTGGCACTATAAGAACCTCAGGGCAGAGGGAGGTCAGAGGGGGAGTGGACACAAGCAGAAGATGGCAGGAGAACATGATCCCAGGGTGCTGGGCCTCCCGGGTGAGGCTGGACCTCCCTGGGTGCTGCAGGGGAGGCAGAGCCTCAGGTGGGGGGGGTGAGTGGGGCCTCCAGCTTGGGCTGGGGGAGGTGGCTGAGTTTCCAGCCCTGGCCCTCCACGCTCAGCTCAGAGTGTTGTGCTCCCTTCAGAGGAGAAGGCAACATTCGGAGGCCAGAGATTCACTGAGAAAGACCCCGAGATGCTCACTCAGAGCCCAAAGAGCTTTCCAGGTACTGGGGTGGCAGGTTCAGGGGTGGGGTGGCAGGGGGTCCTCTCCAGCAGAGAGCTGTCCCTCAAGCCCAGCTCTGCCCATCTGCAGGTCCTGCAGGCTGGCTGACCCGAGTCCCCTGGATTCTGTTGCTGCTTCTCAGCTCTTTGGGCCTCTGCTTTGTGCTCTTGGTGACCACCCTGGTTCAAGGTGAGTCAGGGAGGGGGCTCTATCTGCTGGGCTTGGGAGTGGAACTCTGGGCTCCTTTTAGATGTGTCTTTGGCTCCCCCCATTTCCCTTCCCCAGTGCCCAGAAAATGCTGGGACCAATCCCTCGGTCTTGCACATGCTAGGCAGGTGCTCAATCACTGAGCTACACCCCAGCCCCTGGGGGTTCCCTCTGGGATAATTCTTGGGCTGGGACATCAGAGCTACACATCCTTTCCAGTGTGGCTATGGGCAGCTTAATGTCCCTCTCTGAGCCTGTTTCTTCATCTGGGCTATGGAGCTTATCCTCCCCTGTGTGCAGCTTAGGCACAGGGACAGGCATACAGTCGGTGCTCATAGGAGGGGTATGCTCTTCTCTCTTGCAGTTTCCAGGACCCCCGAATCCCCGCAGGCAAAGGTCCAGGATCATCAGAACAACTTCAGCTTGGGTGAGGGGCTGGAGTCAGGGTCCTGAGCAGGAGAGGGCTTCATGGCTGTGTGACATGGGCAAGCCACTGCTGTGGGGGGGACCCAGGTGTGATGGCAATGTTGGGCAAGTCTCTGAGGCTCAGTGTTCTGGCCTGCAAAGTGGGGCTCCTGTGGTCACTGTGAGATCCACAGAGATCATCTGCGTGGGGCCCTCTCTGCAGAAACACACAGCAGGTGATGGATAACAGAACCCCTTTTGTTGCAGGGGCTGCTTCTCAGGAGCAGGTACTCTCGGGCCTGGAGCAGGTCCGTCAGCAGCTGACCTGGATCAACACCTCCCTGGGTAGGTGTCGGGGGCCTGGGTCAGCAGGGAGCTGGGGGTCTGAGGAGGGACTGGCTACAGTGTGAGGAGGGCAGGGCAGGGCTGGGACCTTGCTCCTGGGACTCTCGCAGACTGAGCGGACAGCTGAACGTAAGGGCCAGGCCCTGGGCCAGGGCTGGGGCAGGGCAGGGAGTCCCAGGAGCCCAGCCTCGTGTCCCAGCCACACTCCTCCTCCCCAGCTGCCCTGTGCCGACCCTGCCCCTGGGGCTGGGAGGCATTCCAGGGAAACTGCTACCTCTTCTCTCGGACCCTGGGCAGCTGGGAGAATTCCGTCTCCTCCTGCCGGGACATGGGGGCCCACCTGGTGATCATCAACAACGCTGCAGAGCAGGTAGCTGCCTGAGCTTCTGGCCTGGGGCTGGGCTACCAACGGGTCCAGGAGAGGCCTCCCGCACCCTCCTTGGCCCTCAGGGTTGGAGGCCTGGTGGGCAGCTGGGCAGGGTTGGAGGAGATGCAGTCAGGGAAGGCTTCCAGGGGGAGGTGTCCTAATGGTCTTGGGAGGTCTTGAAGGAGAAGGGAGCACAGGAGAGGTGAGCATGGACAGAAGGGAAGCTCAGAGCACCCCTGAGACCAAGCTCAATCCCTTCCTGCACTGAACTGAGACATGTCAGCACATTTCCACGCGTGTGTGCATATCGATACACACCCACAGCCTGCACATACATTCCAGTGCCTGCAACTTGACTAGGGGCTCTGGGCTAGACTGCAGGAAGAACTTCCATGGAAACAGAGCACAGTGTGAATGTAGACAGACAGGGAAAGGGGTCCTCCTCCTGATGCTCCCCCTCTACAGAGATTCCTGAGGTACTGGGACATCAGAAAGAGCCAGCGTACCTGGATCGGCCTCAGTGACCACAACAATGAAGGTTCCTGGTACTGGGTGGACAATACCCCTCTCCAGCTCAGGTGACGCTCCCCAGAGACAATGGTGCAGAGTGGGCAGGGGAAGGACCCCACCCCTAACTCACGCTTTGGTGGAAAGCATTCAAGAGACTTGGTGTAGTGCACCGTCCTTCCCCGGGGGTCCTTGTCCCAGCAGCCTCCCCTGGGGCCCCAGAACCTGCACTTTTCCTTTGCTGGAGGTGATTTTCACGAAGGTGAGGTTGGCGCTCACCTTTTGGAAAACCTGTCCCTGGATTCCTCGTCACTGTCTGGCCCGAGCCTGGGCTTCCTGCGCTGAATTCATGGAGCAGCTCTGGAGTGGCCGGGCTGGGCTCTGGTGCCTGGGCTCATGGATCTCTTGATGGGATTTGCAGCTACTGGAAAGAGGGGGAGCCCAACAATGCCGGAGACGAGGACTGCGTGGAGCTCTTCGTGGAGGACTGGAACGACAGCAAGTGTACCGCCCAGAACTTCTGGATCTGCGAGCGGCCCTCCGCCCGCTGCCCTGGCGCCTGAGCGCCCTGCTCCCAGTCCACGGAGATGGAGCCAGTCGGGGGCGCTCTGCTGGCTGTTCTCCAGCTCTGTCCCTTCGCTGCCCGCTGGTCCTGCTGATGCCTTTGCATCTGACAGAGAGCCCTGAGACTCCCTCCCTGCAGCCCGGCCCTCCACAGGGCACCGCTCAGGCCTCTGCTTGCAGGGAAGGCCTGGGCACCTCCGCCCAGCCATGACACCACTTAGCTAAGTCACACGCGGGCGGAGGTGCGGCTCAAGGGGAAGCGCTTGCCTGGCATCAGGGAAGCCCTGTGTCCCAGCCCCAGCTCTGCAAAAACTGAAATAAAGCAAGTTCACACGATGTGCTCCATCCAACGCATGCTCTGTCCCCTCGCCACTCCTCCAAACACCACAGTGTGAAATGTGTGTGACATTAACTAGGTGTTGCCCTCTCAGGCCCCCGTGCTCTGCTACTGTGTTTCACTTATTCCTCCCTCTGCTCCGCATTGGTTGGCTGGTTTGACAATGTCCCCTCTCCATCCACCGCACGGTCATGTACCAGTTACTCATTCAGGTCCCTTAAAATGCCTTTTGGTAAAATTTTATGGTTTTCTTCATATGCACTTATTTAAAAAAAAATCACTCTTTGCAGGTGTGTGTGCGTGCGTGCGTGCGTGCATGTGTGTGTGTGTGTGTGTGTGTGTTGGTTTCCTGCGGCTACTCCAACAAGCTCCATAAGCCTAGTGGGTTAAAACACAGACCTTTTCTCTTACAGCTCTGGAGCCTGGAGCTCCCTGGCCCCTCACTTGCTCTCAGCACGGACCACGGCGGGCCATGTGCAGGAGGTGGCCTTGGGCAGCCCCCTGGTTCTTACCAGGCTGGACAGCACCACCAGACCCCCAAGGTGACTTCAGCCACACACCGACAGGGCAGAGACCCCACTTCCTGCCTCCCGGCCTCAGGAGTGTCTGGGCCTGTGCCCAGCTGGGTGCCCCTCCCCATCTGCCCAACACTTTCCATAGTCTGGAGAGACACATCATTGTCAGCTAGATCTGCTCACGTCCCTCACATCCAGCCTCAGCCCCCCTCGACCCAGCAGCCCTGAGAGTGCTGGGAAGGAGGGTGTGTCCCGCACAGCGTCGCCCTGCAGGAACACTGGCTCCAGAGCCAGCTGTGGCCACAGCCCCAAAGGCCCCACTCCCTGCTGAGGCAGAGGGCTGAGCCTCACCTCTTGGCATTCCTGAGACTTCTAGGAACCCAGGTGAGCTCTTTGCTTCTTAGGGGAAATCCTCTCTCAGTCCTCTAGGTGTCGCCAAACTTCCTGAAAAAGGGTTCCTCACTCCTGCCTGCACCTGTTCCCCACACCTTCTCCTGGCTGTCCTGCCACCCATCGCTCTCCTAAATGACCAACAGAGAATGATATCTACCATCACCTGTGGAAACCAACACACCCTGGTCTCTCTTCTGTCTTCCTCCACGTTCAGGGTGGCTACTCTCTCCCTCTGCTTGAAACTCCTGTCTCCCAGGACTCCCCAGATGTCTTCACCTCCTGCTTCTCTTCCTACTCTCTGGATGTTCCCCCACCCCCACCCCCGTCTCCCTCATAGACTCTTGGTCTTCTGCCTGACCTTGAAAACTACTGTCATTCATGAGTCTTTGCAATCTCCTGCTGTTGGGAGGTGAGGAGCACAGGCAGCTGGGATTAGATTGGTGGTTGAGTTTCTCCAGAAGTGGAGCCATCCTGAGGGTACAGGAGGCAGCTCAGTCAAAGGAAGGAGCCAAGGTAGGAAATGAGTGGGAAACCAACCAAGGTCTAGTCAACCAAATCGGAAAGCCCAAACTGTTTGTAGAAACTTAGGGCCACAAGTTGAGTGTACTGTCAGTATTTTCAAAGATGCAGAACCAATAGGATACATTGGGGGATATTTTAATGGGGTTGGCTATATGATCATGGAGGCTGAGAAGTCCCACACCAGACCATCTGCAAACTGGAGAGCTGGGGAATTGTGCCAAAGTGCAATCACAAAAAAAAAAGAAGTGTCATCCAAACTTGAAAGGAAAATGCTAAAGTGTCTCAACTTGCATGACACTATACATAGAAAACCCTAAGGAATCCTCAAGAAACCTATAGAGCTGTAAACAAGTTCATCAAAGTTGCAGGACACAATATCAACAGCAAAAACATCAGCTGAATTTCCATACACCTGCAACAAACAATCCAAAAGGTAACTAAGAAAACAATTTTTTAAATCAATTTAGTTAAAGTAGGGTGTGGTGAGACTGGAGGATCAGTGGTTCAAGGCCAGTCTGGGAAACTTAGCAAGATCTTGTCTTGAAATGAAATAAAAAACACTGAAGATGTAGGTCAGTGGTAAAATACTTGCCTAGGGGCTGGGGATGTGGCTCAAGCGGTAGCGCGCTCGCCTGGCATGTGTGTGGTCCGGGTTCGATCCTCAGCATCACATACAAACAAAGATGTTGTGTCCGCCGAAAACTAAAAAATAAATATTAAAAAAAATTCCCTCTCTCTCTCTCTCTCTCTCTCTCTCTCTCCCTCTCTTTACTTGCCTAGTATGTACTTGGGCCCTGGGTTCCATCCCCATGACTGCAGATAAATTTTTTAGTTAAGCGAAATAAATAAATGCAGTTCCATTTGCAATAGTTTCTAGTAAATCTAGGAATAAACTTAAACATGGAGGTAAACACTAAAACCATAACACTGAAAATTACAAAAAAAAAATATTTCTGGAAGAAATGAAAGAGCACCTAAAGGGAATTCCATATACATCTGGATGAAGAACAGGAAAACTTATTTTCTTTAGATACTACCCAAAGCTATTGACAGATTTAGTACAAACCCTATCAAAATTCCAGCTGTCTTTTTTTTTTTTTTTTTTGCAAAAACGAAGCAGCCAATCTTTAAATTCACATAAAATTACAAGAGGCATCCCACGGTTGGAAGACTCACACTTTCTCAACTTAATACAAAGGAGTTGTGGGTGTAGCTCAATTGGTAGAGTGCTTGCCTGACGCGAATGAGGCTCTGAGTTTGATCCTCAGCACCACCACCAAAAAAAAAAAAAAAAAAATCATCATCAGCCTAAACTTAATATAAGGCTACAATAACCAAGTCATGTGGTTCTGCTGTAGGAGAAACATAAATCAGTAGGCAAGGATTCAGGGTCCAGAAATGAATGACCCGATATGTAAAAATTAACTCAAAGATGAAACCCTAACTCCAAAATGACAGTGTTCGGAAGTTCAGCTTTTGGAAGGAGCTTAGCTTTTGAGGCTGAGTCCTTATCAGTGATCAATGGGATTGGTGCCAGAGAGCTCCTTTACACCCAGTCCACCTCATAAGAACAGAGCTAGACAATGTCATCTGTGAACCAGAGAGCAGGTCCTCACTGATACTCAAACCACCTTGATCTTGGACTTCCCGACCTCCAAACTGTGAATAAATGAAATAAATGTCTGTCATTTATAAGATACTCCGTGTATCATATTTTGTTATATCTTCCTTGACAGACTCAACTGGAGCATTGTTATTGTTTGTTTGTTTGTTTTGAGACAGGGTCTCACTAAGTTGCCAAGGCTGGCCTTCAACTTGCCTGGGTAGCTGGGATTACAGGCTCACCCCACTATGCCCAGTTTAGATACAATTTTTTTAAATGAGGAAGAACAGGTATTGGCGAGGTTGTGGAGAAATTGGAACCCTCAGGCATTGCTGGTGGGGTCATGTAAAATGGCAAGACCACTGTGGAATATGGTTCTGCGGTTGATCAAAAACTAAACAGAGAGTTACCATATGACCATAAATACTCCTCCGTGGTGTCTACCCCAAAAGAACTGAAAACCCAGAGTCAAAGAAATACTTGCGTGTCATTGTTCATCACAGCACTATTCCCAAGAGGCAAGGCGCAAAAACAACCCAAGTGTCCATTAGCAGATGAATGAACACACAAAATGCGGTTTATCCATACAACAAAGTGTTATTCAGCCATAAAAAGAAATGCAGTTCTGATAACATGCTACAGTATGGACGAATCTTGATGACATTGTGGCCAGTGAATCAAGCTACACACAGAAAGACGATATCGGTTGATTCTACTTGTATGTGTGCTATAGTTTGGATCTTGAAATGTCCCCCAAAGGCCCAGGTGCTGAAGGCTGAAACCTGAGAAACTAGAAGCCAAACTAAAACTTTTTTCCTTATAAGATAATTTTCTCAGATATTTTGTCACAGTGACGAAATACTGACTAACAAAGAGATATCTAGAATAGGCAAGCTGGTAGAGAGGGAAAGTAGAACAGAGGTTACCAGGGCTGAGGGAAAGTGTGTATGTTACAGGGTTCTGTTTCCATAGTGGTTGTGATTATGCAACTTGTAAACCCAACCAGAGCCATTGAACTGTAGGCTTAAAAAAGGGTTAATGGTGGTCGGGGGGGGCCCAGCTGTAGAACGCTTGCCTGGCACATGCGAGGCCCTGAGTTCAATCCTCAGCATCACATAAAAATAAATAAATAAAATAAAGGTATTGTGTTCAACTACAACTAAAAAATAAGCTAAAAAAAGGGTTAATGGCAAATTTGATATTATACATATTTTACTACAGTTAAACTTTTTGAAATAACAGCAGCAAGAGCAAAAAGCCACCAACACTTTCTAAGGCCCTGGCCCAGAATGAGACAGCATCATTTCTGAGGCAATCTGTTGATTAGAATAAGACTCAAGGCTAGTTCAGGTTCAAGTATAGGGAAAGAGACTCCATATCTTAAGAGGAGTTTGTGGGAGGTTTTGCCAACTGTAGGAAAGTAAGAGCTCCATGTCCACATTTGTCAGCAATCATGAAAAGAGAATTTGGATCCAAAGTTTAACCCAGAAAAAAAAATTTGACTGTAGTAAAATTTGATACTACCAAACCCCTCATACAAGAGTTTTAATAAAGTTAAATATGTGGGCTGGGGTTTTGGCTCAGTAATAGAGTGTTTGCCTTGCATTGTGAGGCACTGAGTTCAATTCT